ATTATTATTATTATTATTATTATTATTATTATTATTATTATTATTATTATTATTATTATTACAGTTATTAACGTGTCGCTACTACTGTTGTTATTATTGCTATTATTATCGCATTTACTATTGTTGTTAATACTGTTCTCATTATTATTAATACAGTTATTATTACTGTTATTATTGCTATTATTATATTATTCATTGTGTCGTTATTACTGTTATCATTATTATTAACGCCGTTATTAGTATTGTTATTATTGCTATTATTACACTATTTATTATTGTTACTACTGCTGTTTTCGTTATTATTAACATTATTGTTATCAATACTACTATCACTATTATCGCCATTATTATTATAATAATATAGTGATAACAATAATGACAATAACAACAATAATTATTGTGTGTATTGCTAATTGCAAATTTCAAAAATCGTACATTTCTTTCAGATTGTTTTTCAGTTAATATTTAAACAGAGAAGCATGTCTTGCCAGCGGGTACCGATGCTGACATAGTACTACCATGTAACTCAATTTCGCGCTCTTTTCTATCTCAAAATCATTATTTTTTATCGCAATTATTACTACAGACGGACTTCGCGATCATAGATCTGCCCCTATTATTTCATTAAAAGATTTCTGGATTTCCAGAATTTTTAAAAATCATTCCTAATCGACAAAATACTTCAAGTCGCTCTAAGAAGAGCAAAAGGACAATAACGATGCCCAAAACACATGAAAAGCATCTCCAAATGGCTAAAGCCTTGTACCAGGTGCTCGTCAGCAATAATTTTTAGCTGGTAACCTAATCGACAGAAAAAAAAAACGAAAGATAGGACGTCAACAGTATAATGACCACCAGCCGCCGTAGTATTGGTCAAAGCACATAGAAAAGTTATCAAATGCACAGTTGGGAAGCCAGATTAAAAATTTTAGCTAAGTAAATTATAACAAAACCAATACACATACGATTTTTAGATCTCTCTGGTGGGCGCTTGACAGAATCACATGTATCTTTATATTTCCATGCGCAATGACATGTGGCTACTGAAGCCATCAAATTTGATATATTGAAAAACGAATGAGCCGGGGATTCTCTGGAACGTTCGTATAATTCATTCTGAAAAAAAAAAACATCTAGATAACAAACGAATCCAAAAAAAAAGAACATAATGAAAAAGTAGAAAAAAGCTTTCGCTTAAACTGAATTCCAGAAAAAAAAAATAATTGAACGCATTCAATAAGCCTTTACAAAGCAAATACTTAGAAAGGAAAGACTACCTTGCGCACCGTTCATCTTTAAGATTGCAAAAAAAAAAATTCTTGCAAAAAAAAATTCCAAAAGAAATTCCGAAAAACAGCAGTCCAGACAGCCTTCGAAGCGGATATAGATACAAAATCAAGAGACAAAATTTAAAGTTCTCTCCATCGCAACTCTCCTATGCGAGGCGAAAACAATCCGAAATGTTAACAGCAGCTACCCCTTGTTAACACCGCTGAAGCGCTAGCCTCTTTCAAAGATTTTTTACAAATACGCTGACTGCTGCCTTGAACAGTTCACATGCATCACTATCAATCTAACTTCCGCACCGATTTTGCCATCTGTGTTTACAGCCCAGGGATGAAACAGAGACAGGCTACCAAGTCACTGCACATAAACCTATAGGTTTGCTTATTTGGAAGATCTAAATGACACTGCTTCCAGTGTTTTCATTAATTATCAAAATTCGATTGTGTTCCTCTCCACGGTGAGCCAATAATGCCAAACAAACTGCATATGTTAACACACAGAAGATTTCAGGCCCCCGTTCACTTCCAGTCTTCTTGTCAGGAATATTCATTGTTTGTATCTTTAAAATTTCAACAATACTTGGAAACGAATGAACGGTAAAGGGACTGGTTTTTCCATCGGCGAAATTGGGTCCTCGTTCCGCAGCATGGGATCGGCGCTGCCCATCATTCCCCCAGAATATGTAACACCTATTATAGTTTATAAGATTAAGTTAAAACAAATAACAACAAAAATAAACTTACAATCATAAGTTGGAAACTATTGTATGCCTTGTACAATGTTTCTTCAAACAGGCAACCAACAGCAAATTGTGTTAAAAGTTGCACGTGCTGCAAAATAATACATGCGAATTGTGTGTAGTAAGTCATCAAAAGTGTATGATAAAAATGCTCAATGTTGATTAAGCCTAAACAAAAACAAATAGCAACGCACACCAAACTAGCCGATACGATCATGCATTTTGTGCAATTCAGCCCATCGATTTTCACTGCTTTATACTCCAGTCTATACAAAAGTGGTTCAAACACTGGAAAACAGTTAAAAATTTCACGCACCAGCGCATGAAAGCCGAATTCAAAACCTTGAAGGGTGAATATCTTTATCCCGAGTTAATAGTTTACTCGCCAAAGTTTTCACGAGGCCGTAGGTGATACTCAACAGCACGGAAACGCTGAGTTTGGATAGGCAAGGTTGAACGTGGACAGGGGTTCATTACCCTGAAATTTCAGCTCCCTAGACCCCGTAGTTTCCGAGATAATAATTTACCCGTAAAAACTTTCACTAGCCCTAATATGCAAAAACGCATGAAGACTGCATAAGGGATAAAATCTAAATTACCAAGATTATGCTAAAGCAAAATTATTAAACAACTCAAAATTATTAAACAATTAAACAACTTAATAAACAGTCGAATTACTAAAATCATACGTAAAAAAACG